CAAGCAAATGCCACAGATGGTTCTCATGTCAGTTTGATACCTGGAGTTTTTCCAGACATTGATGATCATCTATACCAATTACCAACCCCTCCTTCTCCTAGTAAGAACTATACGTTGCCAGTGTTCTCATTTATCTGTCCGTCAGTTCTTGTTTTTATCAATGATGGTTTTCTGAAAGTATTTGCAGTATCCTTAATTTTTAGTTATTACTTGTAGTGTAATTTGCTTGGATTTTTTTCATTGTTATTTTTTATATACATTTTTCAATATGTTTTTAGTCCTCATCCAAGATGCAACTGAGGGGAATATTTTCCTTTGTGAATCAGAGTACTTGTCCCAAAAAGCTGATAGTAGTGTTTTGCAGATATTTTTCTCTTATAGTATATATCTGTATTTGTATTTTGTAACACTTCTCAAAAAATGAAGAAGTATAAACTTTCTCCTTATGCCCATGAATACACACTAGCATTTTGACTTCCTTTTAAATGGGCACAGATGACTGCTGTGTAACCCAACTATCTGTCACTTTTTCAGCCATCCTCAGTCCCTCTGCACTGGTTGAACATATATCAAAAATTTCTTGTGCTAACTTTTTTTCCCGCATAGTAGGTATATCTGCAGTTGGTATCATGCCAGTGACCGAGTTGTAACCGACATTTTGTTTGTGAAGTTTATTTAAAAGGGGTTATTCATCTGGTAATGTTAGTGTAGTTAATACTTTACTTATTACACTACAGATACCTTTTTCTTTTTTGTCATTTGCTATTAGAACACGGAATGAAAGAACTTTTCCTTATTCCCAAACGCATTTTCCATACAGATCATCGTTCTAACAGCAATATATTTTTTTTTTCCAGGAACGATTTCTTTCTCATACTGATCTAAATAGTGCTTTCATGCACTTTCCTGGAAGTTAGTGGAATTGTGCCAGGATAGATTTTGGCCAATGCTATGTGGTTATTCTTTACAGTTAAGCATGATAATGTACTTGTATATATTTAACATTATACAGCAGATATTTTAAAGACAATTCTATTGTTCTTAATGACTGGGAGTTAGAATTTGTTTCCAGTGAATGTAGTCATTTTGAAAAATCTTAGCTAGAAATGGATTTTAGAATGTAGGCTAGATGTTCCTAAGTTTGCATAATTTCTCTTTCCACTTTTACCCTAGCATAGCTCCACTCAATTCTGTGGAGTCTACTTAAATTATCATTAATTAATGTTAATTCATGCAAGTAGAATTCCTCCTTTTTCTTCTTCAGAATTTCATATCGACTCAACAATATCACTCCTCAAAACTGCAAAAATTACAGTATTTAGACATAGATACAGCGATATAATTGCAAAATATGTATTTGCATTTATTTGGAAGGATAATCCTATTTTATAATCTGTTTCCTACTACAACAAATTCATTTCTTGGCACTGACTGCCCTTTAACTTAAGTAAGCCAAGCAGCCTCAATGTAGCGTGCAGAAAAAAGTTTGCTACTTTTCTGCTTTGAGCAGAGAAAACCTGTACGGATTGCTCTGAAGGCCTTTTTCAAAGTGAATACCCTTTTTTTCCCCCCCCACTTATCTACTCTTTGCGCTTTTTATAATTACAGTCTAAGGGAATTACTAGTATTGCTGTTTTTTTTTTTAAGGCTCATTTCTTGAAGGACTGTTTCATTTGTATAGCTGTAATGTAATGAAAAAGTTTCATTAATGTATTGGCTGGCTCTAGCTATAGGCTTCTTCCAAACAAATGAATGGTGTCATGTACCGTACTGCTTTTTTTTTTTTCAATTTCTTTTCCTCCACAGCAGTTTTAAAGCCGTGGTCTGACATTGCCCTAATGACTGATCTTTTGTCCAAATGTCACAGTGTAAAAACAGAACAGTCCACTGAATGAATCAAAAAATAACTGTCAAAAAGAAAAAAACCCAGAATGTCATCAAAACAAAATGTCAGGGCAACTGAGAGCCCTCCCTGCCCACTGCAGGCATCTTCCCCAGAGCCAAGACACCAGGGATCATGGCCAAATTCTGCTTCTCCTCAGTGCTCAGGAGAGGGGAATGGTGAATGTAGCAGTTCTTCTAGCACGGCAGTCTTTAATAAATGTTTTAGTAAGGGGCTTTGTGGTAGAAAAGCTCTACCATTTCTCAAAGGTGACATAAAGCACCTTAAAAAATATCCACTGAAGTACTGGTTAGGCAAGTCAGTACAATCCTCTTGGTCTGCTTTCTTGGAGGCTAGATCAAGTCCTCTAGTTGCTGAGTTAGTGCTCTGTCCGTTGGGATGAGCTATCGCAGAACAACTCATCAGTCAATAAGTTACTTGTTAATAATAATGAAAACATCTGGAACATTCATGAACTACTTGTTGGCTACGCTCAACAGTGGGGAAAAATGTGCTGCTTAGTTTGTATTTGCCAGCTGCTGTTAGGAAATGAGATCAGAAAGGCTGGACAGAGGGGAATTGCAGTATGTGCTAGAGAAAAAGAACTTTGCAGCTGATTACGATGTCTAATTTGCTTTATCAGGGTCTGGAAGAGTTCAGAGAGGTGCAGATCTGTAATATCGTTTTCGTACTGATAACAAAGTTGTAGTCCCACGTGAAACACTGTATAAAAATAATTTTAGACATGGAATACCTGTATGGCAACAATGTGGCCCAGAAATATTACTGTCATCACCTAAGATTTCAAGCCATATAACCATCACAGGAAATATGTGAGACTAGAAGAACTCATTTGGATTTAAGATCTAATTCTGTCTTAGAACCAAGTTACAAAACTTATTTTGAAGTGCCAAGGGACCCATCTCTGTGTTTACAGAGAGAATTTTTGCTAATAAGAAAAACATTTTGAATTTTTAAGGTCCCACATGATACATAGCTAGCAAATGTAAACCATCTAGAGAACTGTACTTCTATTTTATGAAAGCAGGAAAGTTTTAGAAATTCAGTTTTATCCTTCATAGGAATAAAATTACAAGTTTTAAAATTTCTTCTTATTGACCACTTCCCGTCTTCTCTCTCTAGTCATTTCTCATTCTCTTTTCCCTGTAGAACAGGCAGGACCTTTGACATAAGCAGTAGAAACCTCTTCAAGAAGTTGCCAATATGCAGAAGTCCTTACACTCTTTCCAGATAATTTCTAGGCAATTATCATTGCATATTGGTTCATGAAAGTGTAGCACAATCAAAAATGGAATATATAAAAGGTGAAAGGGTGCAGCCATAAGCTTTGTTATCAGAATATGAGAGCTAGCAACAGTTTGGATGAGTACAACATTTACAGCCTATGTAGTTTCTTTGTGTGAACTTTCTAGACATATATATATATTTTTTTCTTTTAATAATGAAAATCATAGCTTTTGTACCTCCCTATGAAATACTCAGTAAGAATATTTGGACTAACAGATGGCTTTGTTCTTTAGGGTCTACATCCAATATAGATAGTGATCAGGGACCATACACGGGAGACAGTGAACCTACTCCTTTCCCTGGAGAGTCCACAACAACAACTGTAAGATCACAACCAAGGCCAGCCCAGGTACCAGGTAGGTTTCCAAAGTCATATATTTTAATAATATGCGAACAGAATGATGTGAATATGAATTGAACAAAAATGTAGGTCAAGTACAGTTATTTTGGTTTTGTTCTGAATCAGGTAATGCACAGAATCAGGAGGCATCAGGGTTGGGATGAGAATCAGCATTTTCACTAGTAGTCTGAGAAATGGAGTATGTAGTAACTCATAAAATACTCTAGTAATATCTAGATGAGAGAAGTCGAGTTTTGAAGAACAGGATTTAGAGATAAATAACCTTGATACTTCGATATGCAATCAGACACAATTTGGTGAAGGTAGATATAAAGTATCATATTTGTGAAAATGTTCAGTGAAAAATATAGCTGAGACAAGCTTTGCAGAAAAAGGCTTGCAGATTAAAATGAAATAGAATAGAAAGAAGCCAACAGAGTGATACAATTGCAAAAGAATGCAAATATATTCTGTGACATATTAACAGTAAAGTCATTTCTAAGAGAGAGAAAGTAATTATCCCACTCAGTGTAGATCTGGCAAGTCTGGAGCTGAGTTACTGTATTCAGTTCAAGGCACTGAATCATACAGAAACAACAGGGAAGGGCACAAAGATAAAGTCTGGTAAGGTAACCATAGCACGACCTGCATAAAGAACAGGATACAGGGAAGGTTGCCATGAAATCTCCATTTTTGAAAAATGCTAAGAGCAAATGGAACATTTATCAGGGGTGTTTTTATTCATTCTGTTTCACTGGAAACAGCATATGTAATCTCCCTTCCAGTTTTACCTCCTTATGATATTGCAGTTCCTTTTTATTTTTATTTTTTAGAATTTGCCCTACAAATGCTCCTTAACTTAAGGTTTTTAATGACAAAATGGATGTAGACATTTCACTCAACCTTCAATCCATCCTACTTTTACACCTAGAATTGCAGTTGTCTCAGCCTTTTCTCCTGCTCTTGAAATAAATCAGTGATACAACAGCTTTACACCTATGTCAGCCAAAGTGCAGTTCTTATATATTGGACAGGTATTTCATCAGAGTAGGCCTGGGCATAGATGAGCAATTTTTTTGGCCATATAGGCAACATGACTGATGAAAATGTATTTCATTTGCGAAGAAGAAATTTGCAAAATGAGCAAATATCCACTTAAACTAGAAGAAAATTCTTACGGTTTAAAGAATGCTTGAGTGTCCATGAAACCCTGAAATTGCATGGGATGGATTAACACATTCTTCTTCCCTCCATCAACAACCAGAATGGCTGATCATCGTTGCTGCTCTCCTGGCACTGGCGTTGATCCTCGCAGTGTGCATCGCCGTTAACAGCCGGAGGAGGTGAGGTACCCTGTACTTCTTCAAACACACTGAAGTGTGATGGGGGTGATAGAATGAAGCACTGACACAATATTGTTAGAGACCGTGTGAAATAAAAAAGATATCAGGCACATGGTGAGACAGAAGTATCTACAGCTTTCTTTTAAGTTAAGTGGCTCTGGAGTTACACGCCCTGAACAGCACAGCTTATTGATTTATATCTCACTCTGCTATGCCTATAAAAGCAGAGGCTGCCTTTGTTTCCTTCCTCATACCCCAAGTCACCATAGAAACAGACAAACAGGGCCAGGATGACTAATTATAGATTGCAACTGACAAGAACTGAAACGGTCTCAACGCTAAAAATTATGTCCCAGATGCTGCGCGTGGAAAACATCTCTTATGTAGAGCTGCCATGCAGCTGGGAGTGAGACCCAAGGAGAGACAGTGCACGTGGGTGAGTGCATGTGTACGGATTCACAGATTAGACCCAGCAGCGTGCACTAATCCCTATGGGGAGCAATTTTTCAAGCAGGGACGTCATCTAGTATGCTTGAAACAGGTGGAATGTTTTCTCTTGTTTTAGCAGGATCAAAATAACAAGAGATTCATTTGTTCTGATAAGTGCTAACTGGCTGCAGACTCAGGCAGGGTTAGCTGGGCAGTGAGGTGGGAATGTTCCAAGCATTCATTTATTTAAAAATAAGAACTACATGTTTGTTACAACATCAGTATGGCAGCAATCTTGAGCGCTTACACAAAGCAATTGGTCCTTCTCAGTGAATTGCAAATTGCTTCATCATAGTGTTTTTGGTGCTGTGGGTTTTTTTTTTTTTTTAATTTTTATTTTTTTTTTATGTTTAATTGCTCTTGTCTTAATTAAAACTGATGTTATCTTAAAACAAAACAAAACCAAACAAATTGCCCAAGGTTCAGCGCGGGGCAGTTTACTTGTTTATTTATGTCTTTATTATTCCTCATGTTGCAAAGAAGAACTCCCTCTGTATGGTGTCTGTTGCCAAAAGAGTTAGAATTTCCATGCAGTGTCCCACATTTAGGCACTCGCTGTCATTTCAGGAAAGAAAATATGAGTTGCACTTTTAAAAGCCTGTGTTCGCTCTGCATTTCATGGTTGCAGAGCAGGAATCATTCCCAAGTGTGTACCCAACATTTATACAGCAAACTGAACTGCTTAAGATAAAATAACCCTCAGCTATCAGTCAGTAAGCATGAATAAAAGTGATACTTAACTGCCAGATTAGTCATTCAGACAAAACCTGCTTCACTGAAAAGAGAACACTTTTACAGTACAAATTTAAAAGTTGGTGTCCATTTTAAGAGAACTGTGCTGTGTGCATTCAGTGAACACTCAGCTGCTGAATCTTGATCCTGAGTCTGGATTTGGAATTATCCTGTCTGTATAGTGGGATATATAAATAGTTCATAAATATGGATATACCCAAATCAGAAAACCATCTCCATCTTTCAACAGTGCATGTTAGTTCCCATCTCTACTAATAGATACTGGGTAGCCTGATGTAATGAGTGGCAATCCTGCCCATGGCAGAGAGGTTGGAAATGGGTGGTCTTTAAACTCCCTTTCAGCCCAACCATTTTGTGATTCTGTGACACTAAGTGGGCCATTGTGTTCCTGCTAAAGTTCATGCACGTAATGCTGCATTTTTTCAAAAACAAAATATGCAACATGGAGAAACTGTGCACTTTGCTTTGCATAGGTCTGCACTAGCAGACACAAGTTTCATTTCCAGGAACCTTTTCCTAAATATTTACTTGAATTTTGTTTTCATATTTCCATTACTCTCCATTTATGGTATTTATATTCTTTTATTTTGACCTAGATGTGGGCAGAAGAAAAAGCTAGTCATTAATAATGGCAAAGGTGCCGTGGAGGACAGGAAGACAAGAGAATTAAATGGAGATGCCAGCAAATCACAAGAAATGGTGCACTTGGTTCACAAAGAACAGTCAAATGACCAAACAGGAGCATGCGACGAATTCCTCACCGTTGATGAAACACAGAATCATGAAGATGATATGAAGAGCGGGGTGTAGTGGTACAAAGTCACCAAATAGATCAGTGCTGGGGAAGTCAAAATCACACGGACCTTGGACAGGAATTCACAGATGCACTGTGCTACTGATGTCTTTTGAACACAATTAAGCTTAAATTTTCTTCATTTTTAATTATTTTAACATGATGTCTGAGTTACAAAAGTGACATTTGCTTTCTGAAATAAGCCCCAGGTGTTGCAGTCAGTTCCCAGTTCCTACACAAAGGGCACTTACTGTGTCCTGGGCATGTGGCATGTCATTGTTCCCCAGATGCAGTGCCTTCGCTGTGCGGAGTTACAGAAGCATCCAGTTGCTCCATCTTACAGGCATTTAAGGTACTAAACTTATCATGGTACAACAGTAAGTGAGTAACAGATGTCAAGATCCAAAATAAAAAAGGCTTAAAACAGAAATGCCTCCTATACAATGCCTAACCCAGCAGAATCCACCAGCAATGCCTTCCAGCCAGGAAGAGTGGTAGGTGCACTCAAAGTCTGCCAGTAAAAGCAAAAAGTGACATTTTGTAATGATTGATGACTTGGTCTGTAACAAGAGAAATCCAGAAGGACAAAGTTTATTTATCTCTATTTTAAAATGTCTGTGGGCATACAGCAAGTTTTTTTGGGAGGGGGAACAAAGGGAGGAAAGCATGAGCTGGTACATAATAAACTTCTTCTTTGTTATCTTAACAATCTGTACATATATCCTTGAGTTTCTGAGGTGTCTGTTGCTCTTTCCCCTCCCTCCTTCATGGATCACAGTTCATGTATGTTTTTTAAGGAGTCAGTTGTAAAGTTAATAAAGCAGTATGACCCCAGCTCTATTGTGCATGCACAAATCAAGCAATTGGAAGTCATCAGAGATGATGACAGCATTTTTATTCCTGAAGAATGGGTCCTTCTCTCTCCCTGCTCCATTTTACATAGGAGATGCAGTTTCTCCCAGAACTGTTGTATTGCACCAGTTTGCCAATATTTTGAAAGTTACTTTTGTATGATCTTGCTCACTTCTGATTTGTTTCATCCGCATTTTCTTCTTCTAGTCAAAAATGCCGAAAGAAAAACTGTTTATTGATAATAGAAGTTGAAATTTTACAGAAAAGATCAATGAAATTTTAAGGAAACTCTCCCAATAATGTAATACAGTAAAATAGCTGCATCTGCATTGTCATACACTTTTGTTTTGTCCTTCTATGTCTGTTATGTGAAGTATTTGTATTAAGCAATGATGCTGTGCATTATATTGATATGAACTGCCAGAAAGAAAATTATTTACTACCAGTGATTTGTGCTATTTTTAAGAAAGCATATTGGAGTGGAGAATAACTTCTAATTGGTCTGCCTCAGAAAAATGCAAGTAAAACAACCGGAGAACTGCGAGCAGTGAGGTCTGTGTTAGCTGGGATGGGGAATGTTTGGTAAGAGATGTTCAGAGGTAGCTGCTCCCTGACCACAGCACCTGTACTGGAAAATGTTCTGCTAACACATGTTACTTTATGCTCTCCATCTGAAGCAGTGCAGAGGATGGGCTTTCAGCTGGCTACATACTAACATTAGCTAGCATTAATCTTTACTGGGACACCAAGCACAACGAAAATCGTGATTATGGTTCTCAGTTTAGAGCCCTTCAGCAGTTTCCCAAGCATTCCATTGAGTTGCTCAGAGCCCTGGTATCTGCAGGCAGATCTCCTCAGGGAAAATGTGCATTTGGGCAAAAGGTCCCAAGATGAGGTGTGATTTCAGTGTACGCATAGGATGCTTTCTGACTCTGTGTATGTCTCATCTATGAGCAGTCCAAGAGTGCTCAAACAAGCTGAAGCCAATAAGGACAAGGTGACATACACTGTCAGTACCTGGGGCCCATTGTCAAACCTCTCAGCCCAACCATAAGCACATATTTCAACACTGAGCTGTGCTGTGCAAAGTCTGTTGACAGTCTGCGTTGGTTTTTGTTTAATTCCCGTAAGGCCAGCTTTTCTATTTGTCATTATAAATCAGAACGATCTATCGAAGGCTGTTTTAACTGGTGTTACGTACATATTTCTCTAGGTGTGGAGATCCAGAATAAGAATTTTGCCTCTTCTTAAATCTTAATTTATTATAAGCCTCAGTCAAAAGGAGATAATTCGCTGTCTTGATGGGTGAATGTTCTTAAAAAAATAAAAAGGGCCAGGTCATGTTATTCATCTTCTTATGGAGATGTTGAGAAAATGGAGAAATCCACCAAATCCTTCTAATTTATCTAATGCTCAGTACCTATAGAAGTATGGACCATACTTGTTGGCTTTTTTTTATATTTGTTATATGGAGATGCTCAATTTCTCTTTAAAAAGGCAGTGCCATTATTTTATATATGCTGATTCTTTTTAGGTTATGTTGTGCGAATGATGCATAATTAAGTTTCATTGTAGTTTCAAAACTAGATGGCCATTTCATACATGTAATATAGTGCATATTTTTATTAATCTTGGTTTTATTATTTCAGGGGTTGTTTGTTGTGTGTATGTATTTTTTTATATAGAGCACTAGATATATTTGCATATTTATTTAACAGATTAATCAATGTTAAAGAAAATATCATCTCTAAATTGTAATTAAAAAAGTATTGCCAAAAAATACCACATGGAACTGTAAAATAAGCTTCCAAAAATAAACTTGGTTCCATGTTGAGGGTAAGAAGTGAGGTCAATGTTGCTAGTGGGAGAGGAGAAGCATTTGGCAGTGTGATCATACAGAGCCACAGTCAGATCTCCTGCTTGCAGAACTGGCTGTAGGCTGTGGGACCTCTCGTGCTCCATCAGCTTCCAGTGGGCCCCCATCTCCATGGGGTTAGCGACAAGCTCAGTTCCCTTGGAGCACAAATCTTGGTCCAAGTTAAGGTCAACGCAGTAAGGTAGAAATAATGTTTAAAGCAGTAAGTATATTTAAAAGAGAGGTGATTGATATTTTTACAAGAATGTAATATTTTCATTGAACAATCCTGGGTGATGGTTTCACCTGTATTTTCTTGAAGATTCTGAAAGGAATGTTTGATTAAAGCAGAGAAAGGATGTACAGCCTTTGTCTCCATCTGTGTGGATGTTTTAAAGCCTTCTCAAAACATCAGTTCCCAAGTGATATTTCTGTATAACATTCTTTCCTTCATACAATGTCTTCTGCACATCCTTTGCCAAAAAACACTACTACCACTGCACTACCACTGCCAACTACCACTGCATTAAGGAGTGTATGTTGGGTGGAATATTACTGGAGAAAATTTCCAGGTGTCTTATAGACTCTGACACAGTCACACAGAGGCAGGGGTTTGTCCATCATCCTGGTTGGGGTTTCTCCTCGTTGCTCTTTCTATAGATGAAGGGGAGCAATAAAATCCTCTGAGAACGCTGTTCTGCCTCTGCTTACACAACACTAGCAGTTTGTTTTATGCTACATTAGGCTGTTAGCCAGCAATTACTTGTTGGCCTTATTAAACAGTTCAAGGCTAGACATCTCTGGTTGCAAGAGATTTGATTTGTTAAAGAGCATATGGTTACCTTTGAGTAACCACATGTACTGATGTGTTTTCCACTGCAGAGGTGAAAGAGACAAAGAGGTGGGAGCAGAAATGCTGACGTGGGCAGGTTCCTGGGGTGCAGCTCCAGATTTGTGGGTATAGGGGACAAAGGTCTCATCTCTTTTTTGGGGCAAGAAGCATGAGACAGTGGGAACTTTGGGGGTGGGAACTCCAGAGGTTTCGGTGAAGGAAGAGTACAGTCACTGGAAGATGAAATGGAGAGTGAGTAAAATTTCTTTGCTACCGACTGGGAAAGTCCCCCATTATCCCCAGGACTTTGGCATTTGAATGATTTCACATTTCAGATAAGGGAAAAACTGTTCCTGTGAACTCCCCCACCTCCAGGTCACCTTCTGCATTCACCACCTGATTTGCAAATGGCTTTTGACCAGTTTTCCCCTGGTAGATTACTTCTCACTATTACTCATCTGTGTTGCTGTGGCACTCACCAATGCCATGCTGAGAGCACCCAGCTCTGACTGTGGGAAATGAGAGGCAAAGCTCCGGCTTCACAAAGGTGATTAACAGCACCTCGTCTTCTGTCTGCCCATCTCTCCCATCCAGAGTTGGGTGTGCTACAAGATTTCTAGTCGACTTCTGTCTGCACAGGTCAGTTGTGCTGCAGCATGGTTTTCTGAAAAGCTGAAGATGCCCTGACCTCAAGGGAGCTGTTGTTGTTCAGATGCAGGTGAAGAAGAAGCAGTGAAAGTTTTATGCGTGCTTTAAACACAGCTTTCTTTAAGATTTGCCTGAATGGATCCAACAGAAAGGTTTTGCCTGAGCTACAACTTCAAGGCTTTACACACTTCTTGTTAAATCTTTGTACTCTATAAGCAAAAGGGATTGGGATGAACAAGTGGAGGGTTGAAACCCATGTTCACACATTCTCTGCCATGCATTGAACTTTGATGTCAATATCATTAGTTTTGTGTTTTCTTTCAGAAGAAAGACATGAAGATGATGATGCTATGGATCAAAACAGGTGCACAAAGGCTGTCAAATGAGAAATATTTTTTGTTTCAGAAATAGACATAGTTTAGATACTTTTAATATATCTGATTGATAGATTACCTTTTTTTTGGGGGGGGGGAGGCGGAGAAGATGCCTAATATATAATACAACTTTCTACTTGTACTGTGAAAATAGGGCTTGTCAAGTCAAATAGGATCCAACATAACTTTAAGTGTATCTGTCAGAAAACTAAAACATTTTTTACACTACGAGTAAAAAAAGTCTCCCTCTGTAGCACCCACTGAACAGACTGCAGCTCAACAGCAGCTCCATTCTGGTGCTGGATTGAGATGGGTGGCTGCGTTGAATGCCAAGGACACAGCTGAAGTTGGGTGCACGTAGGCAGCACTGGGAAGCCAGCATGCAGCTCAGAAACAGTGGTGATTCTACTCACCAAAAGGGCTTGGCTGCCAAGTTAGTGCTGACATCCTTCAAACTCCGAGAAAGAAATAAAGAAGAGAGGAAGAAACAAGAAGGCACTTTCAACCAGAGACTGTAAGTTTGCACCTTGTGTCTGAAAGCCTTGGGCTATTGTGCTAAGATGGTGTTAACCTAAATGCCCATTTTGCAGTGGTTTGTTTACAGCAGAGTTTTAGCCTGAAATCTGAATTTACTTTGCAGTCATGGGTCTATATCTGTGTTCTGGCACCACGTTCTCAAAAGCCTATTCTTTTTCCTGGCTTAATCCAAAAAAGAGCTTAGATAATTTTCATCAACCACATTTTCTTTGGGTGTATAAGACTCCATGCTTTCATTTTACATGGAACAGGCAGTACCAAACGGGGATGTTTTGCCCAGAAATCAGATCTAAGTCTGAGTTTATACTCACCATCTTTTATCAGCCTATCCTTGTTAATAAGAAACATCTGTCTGGGGGCTGCTGATTGCTATCAGCGTGCTCTCTGGAGCCAGCACAGACACAGCTGCCAGCAGACTGCAGCTTGAGCCTATAGGATGAGCTGAGCCATCCAAAGCCATGCCCAGTGCCCACAGATCAGGATCTCAGCTGGCTGCAGCACAGCTCCTCAACTCCTGCAAAGTCAGCCCTGCAATTATCACCACCATTTGGTATATTTTGCTTTGCAGCAGTGGGCTGTCAGATTCACCAGTGGGGACAGCTTTACAGTGAAGCTTCCCTGCACTTCTTTTGTGGTTCATTTTCTAGTTATTGTTTATTTCACTTGTCAAGAGAAAGCCTGAAATACGCTCGAGGTGAGGATGCTTGTTTGTTCAGCTAAACCACAGTGTTCCTTT